GCACGGGCCTGCCAGGAGCAGTCCAAAGGAAAAATAATTAAAGTTATTCCTCGTAAGCACCACAAATACAGACTATTCTGTGGCTCCAAAGGCAGRTGGAGTCAGGTGCCTTGCTCCATGCGGAGCGACGTAGCTCGCTGGGCTGCCCGGCCGTCACCGCGGCCCGTCTCCCTGCAGCAGCTCCGGCAGCCCAAGGAGAGGGCACCCCAGGCAGACAGGGGTCTCCCGATGCCGCGTCCTCGGCGGCCGGGCGGGAGGGCAGCCCGGCGCAGGGAAGCGGTGCAGGTCACCGCAGCGAGCTGGCTCCAGCAGAGGCTTTACGTGGTGCTCTGAAGAGGCCTCAGACATAACCACCATCAGTCCCTCCACAAAGAGAAAGTCTTCATTATGCAAATTCCCATCTTAAAGCTTTATTCATGTGCTTCCTGGCAGGCTTGCCTTTAATCTCAAGAGCAAGATTGCTTGGAATTACYATATACCCTTGTTAATTGCATAAAAAAAATTACAGCAGAGGTTGTTTTTGCCATAATCAAGAGTGATTTTGATTAGTACTTCAGGAAATCAAAATGTTTTCCTGAAAACGGAGGATGAGGAGAGCAGCAGTGCCTAGTCCCCAGCCAGGAGATGGGGCTGCACCCGTAAGGGCAGCTCTCCCGGGCCGGGGTCTGGCAGCCGCGTCCCGCACCGCCAGCCTGTGCCGCTGTGTCCGGTGGTGCGAGTCTGTCAGTYGCACTGGGTGCAGTGGCACTGTCGGATGCCTCTTCCCTGYTTTYCTTCCCTGCAGACCTTTCCTTGCGTGGRAGGAGGTCCCAATCCCACTGTCCCGCACACAGGAGCAACCTCCTCCCATTGTTTCTGTCCCGAGGGTCTGCATTCCCTGGCAGCTTGTGGAAACAGGCGGCTGGATTCTGGCACAACCCAGGGCGGGAGGACCTGGGGGCAGTTAAGAGTCTCCTTTCCTAGGCAGGACTGGTTTCAGGAGCTGAGCTGCGAGGTCAGTCCTGTCCCATCCGCGCTGCRCTCAGAGCTGCCCCAAGCATGGGCAGACACCTTATTCCAAGAAGCAGGARGGCTGGCCACAACCCTCATCCACGGGAGGTCCTCAAGCACAGCACGCGGAGYGACACAACCTCCCCTCCATCCCTCCCACCACTGCTTGCTGCCTTGCGCCCAAGTCAGGCACCTAAAGCCAGGCAATTTGAATTACTCTCAGCTGCACTAGTGTCTGCTTTGCATTCTCCCTTAATCTCCTGGGCTGTCAATCTACTACCTTCACAGGCTCTAAATTCCCAGGAAAGCTAAACACATATATATTTGCACAGAGAGATATGTAGGCTTGCACTAAAAATGGAATATCTCTCGCAATACTGCACACAGCTTAGCAATATACTAGGTGTGAGTTACGATACTATAATTCAGGCTTTGTCAAACAGCACGGCTTAATTAGAATATATATATAATTGTAAAAACTAAAAAGCTGACGAGTACAATTGCACATTTGAGCTGCCTGCTGCAGAAAATAATGAGAAAGAATACATTAAGGCACCAAAAAAAAAAAAACCCTTCCACCTTCAAAGAGCAGTTAGCTCTGATTAAAAATATCCCCAGCCAAGCAAGGGAATTCAGAGAGAAGCCTTGAATCTGCRGCGCTGTCTCGGCCGTAGCTCTCGCCTCCCTGTTTTATTGCCTTGCCAGGGCAGCCGCAGGCTTGGCAGCAGCTCCCAGCCCAGCTCGCAGAGCCACGGAGCTGGGGATTCATGTTACACAGGTGCCGTGTCCTGGCTTGGGTTCTTTGGATTGCTGCTTTAGGGAAAAACATGGAAAATGCATCCAGTTCACCTGTTTCTCTCTCCCACTGTGAATTCCCTGGTGTCCTKCCTGTTTCCGAGGCAGCTGAAGGTACAGAGCATGGATAACAACCTTGATACAGTGACCAGAGAGCACTGGAGCTTCATGCAGCTCCCTGCTTCATCCTACACAGAGAAGCAGTGTTGCAGCAAGGTCTCAGTGGCAGGTATATAACCCCTATACCTTCCTATCTGGACTGGAGCAGCGTCTCTGGTGCTGGCCCGAACCTCCCCATGGCTCTGTGATTGCCAGTCACCCTTCTTGGCCAAGAGCAGAGGATGAGGCTCCTTCACCTCTGGCCAGCTCCCTGCCATCGGATGCACTCCAAACCCACAGGCCACAGAATCTGCTATTTACTTGTTTTGTTCCCCGAGCCATTGGCAGAGCCCTGCTTTGTAGGAAGGTGCAAAAGCAGCCCGGCCAAGCCAGCAGCCCGGCCTTGGCATCCATTGCTCACCCGGAGAAAGGGCTGAGGTCAAGGAAGAGCTACAGCACATAAAAAAACACAGGTTTTCAGTAGTCCTCACCTAACATTAGGCAGCTAGAGTTTGCAGAGCTTCTTATCAGCAGATGGGCTCCACCAGGCTGGGTAGATGAACCCCTTGGGTGGGCAGCGAGGTCGAGGCACCGTGGCACCTGGGAGCAGGGATTTGCCATGAGATGGATCAGGGAATCGAGCAGGGGCTGCAGGATACCAGCTCCCTGCTCTAACTGCCACCCCRTATACTTGCGAGGAAGGTGTGCATGCCGGGTACGCTGTCTGGATTTTAAGCATCTGGCTGTGAAATCCCAAGTTCGTTACTGCTTAATAACTTAATACAAGAGTAAGGGGAGGAGTGTTCGGTTCGCGGTCAGAGTGAGCATGCTAGTTGTGTGTCTTTGGTGGGAGAACTTGGCTATTGATCCATAAAAGGTGTAATATCTCTATAACACTCTTTGCATGAAATAAAGATGTTGTCAGCTTGAATTAACTAGCAATCTATTATTAATCCTTGCCAACACCTGGGGAATTCCTTGTTTTAAATTGCCCTGGAAATTGATCTCTCTCGGTTTGCCTTAGGTAGCAGCAAGAAAGCCCTGTGAAATGCATTGTGCCAAATGCCTTAATTCGTAGGTGAGGTTTTAGTGGGGAATTAAGAGTATCGACACCCAGGACAGTCAGGGCTCTAGAGCCCATGGGTGCTGGGAACAGCCACATTCCCGAAAGCAAGTGGCAGATGCCTCAACACACAGCAGAAGGCCCTCGTCCCCCTCTGATGGTGCGTTCAGCAATGCACAACCCTGTGCAGRAAGCAAACCCAGCGCGGGGCTGCTCGTTGCCGAACCACGGCATGCAGCACCCAACCCGGCGTGCAGAAACACGGCACCTGAGCACCCGCTAATCACCAAGCACAGCAGAGGGAAGGCTCTCGGCATGCAGATGTGAGCACTGCTGCTTCCACCCTTTTCCTCCTGACAGTTAATTTTGCACTTCCTGCAAGCAACGGAGGTAGCAGGGACCCCAACGCAGCGACGTKGCCTTTCCGCAGGGCAGGAGCCACCTGCTGCTCCCTCCCGGCCCCCAGCACGTGAGAGGCAGACCGCGGGTTCCCTTTCTGCCTTTCTCTTTCAAGCACAGTTTCAAGTGCAAAAGCAGAAATGGCAGAGAGACGCCGATTCCCACCAGTTGAATAGCTATGGAAGCAAAAGCAGCCTTGGTGGGAAGGGTGCCCTCAGGAAGCAGCTCCGTGTCCTGCAGCTTCGCTCGTGCTGCCAGGGTGCGAGAGCCCGTCCTGCCACGCACTGCTGCCCTTTCACGTGTGRTAAGGCCCGGGAGGGAAATACATTGGCCAGGAGAGCGCAGGGAGCAGAGGGAGGTTGGGCTGCCAAAGATCACTCTTCGTGCAAGGTTTCTAACCAAGAGGCTCAGCAGCACATCTTGCTTCACGGATTTAACAAGGTGCCTGGCTCTACCTACAGCAGGTCACTCATCTCACACCACCCATTTCTCTCAGCTCACGCAGCAAAGCACTCGAATCCTTCCTCTCAGAGAGGGATCGAGCTGCCCTGCCCTGCATGTTCGTCCCTCTCACATCTGCCAAGTTTACGTCTCAGTAGACAGGAGCCTGGGTGTGATAGGGGAACACCTGAAACCAGAACCAAGGTGTTGCAGTACTTAGTGACCACGCTCTGTACGAGTTTTTCACTGAAACGCTGATACCTCCTTTCTGCTGGACCTCTGCCTTTTCACTGCTATTGTCCTTGTCAGTAAGGCTTTAAATTTATTCATGAAGCAAGCTGGAGCTCAGGTGGCAATAGCTAAATCCATTTAGCAGTAGGAATAAGAGGAAAGCCATTTTAATGTTCTCTTGCAGGGCTGCAGTACTTAGCAAACCCAAAGGATATTAATTACTCAGCATGCTCGGAGATGTAAAAGCATGAATTTATCAAGACAAATACATTCAGAACTAGGGTAAGTCAACAGTAATTAACATGATGTAAAAAAAGTCGGGGAAGGAAGGATTAGACAGTGCTATCACATTGGAACACTGAATAGTTCAGAGTCATCCCTGGGATATTATAAAGCGATTGGAGTTGTTGTAAGGCACCTTCAACAATAAATTTGCCATCTGTTGTCAGGTGTGTTCCTTGGCTCTGGGTATGCTCTTAGTTTACCAGGGTATCTGAAGTATTAAGTTGTGTGTTTGGCAGGCAGCTTCACATTTTAATATGAAATCTTTGATGTTGGAATCTACTTTCAAAGAAGAGGTGCGTGGGGTTGGTTGTTTTTCCCTGAATTTGCCTGTGCTGTTCCAGTATTTCCATGGTGTTTAGCAAACATATAATCGTGAGCACAGCCCCAGATGAGTGGCAGCTACAGATGAATTGGTAGCTCTGCTTGACAAATTTAAGTGTAGCATGTGTTTTTATACCACATCCATTAGGGCAGACAAATGGAAAATCCRGAGATGACTGCTCTGCAATTTAACAGTCACAGCGCTCCGAGAACACGGGTGTCTTCGTCAGCAGTGATGATAGGTCAGGCTTAGGAAAAAGCACAAAACCCTCCAAAAACTAAAAGAAATGGAGCAAACAAGTCTAGCCAYGATGTACTTAAGGGCAATTTACTTTGTGTGGAGCAAGTAAAACCAATGCTGATTCTTTATCTCCAGGTCATGGGGACAGCCTGGATGACTTTAACCTAGAAGATGCTCTGGATGATCTCACCACCAGGCGACGTAAGTCAAATTTATTTACTCTTTAAAAGAGGGGAAAGCCAATACTAATTAACAGATGTAATTATTCTTTGGGATCATATGCAAGTGGAGAGGGGCCGAGGGTTACATGATACCTCATCCTCTTTGCTGGGTAGACTCAGTCTTCACACTTGACAGCAATTGGAATTAGCAATATCCCTGTCAAAATTATTTGCTACCATTTTACTCCTTCATTTTGTGATTTCAGTCAACAGATTGCAGAGTCCTGGTGTTATTTTGACATCCTGATGGCACTGAATGCATCTTAGGGGCCTCTTGGCTGCTCACGTGCATCAGTAACATCTAGTAACAAACAGTCCCAGTTTTGCTGGAAGTTAACACARCCATCTCTCTCAGCTGGCCACGTATGGAGGTACTTATGGGATTTGTGCACCCCATCTCAACTGTCCTTTTCCCAAGCCCCCTAGGCCATGAGCATCCCCTTGCAGGTGAAGGTTCTCTCATGCTCCCAGATCCCTTCCAGAGAGGTGCTGAGCCTCCAGTCCCACTCCTTTCACTTGCTTGTTTTCCAGTGTAACCTGCTGGTTGAAGGAGACTCACTTCCAGCAGGAGTACCTTGTTTCTGACATCTCCTTTCAAAAACTGAGCTCAAAATTCATCTGCATCTGGTCATTTAACCAGCTYGAATTTCTGGTTGTGGCCACGGAGACACTGCAGTGGATTGCACATCATGCTGGTTTTATCTGGGATACATCAGTGCRTCTCTTAGTGCTTCGAAACACCAGGCCAAGAGCTACAGGTGRTGTGCTTCAGCACACTGACACTGCCCCCAGTGCCCCCCGTGGTCACAGCAGAGCTGCCAGCCCTGTCCCCTCCGGTCACACATGTTTCCATGCGATGACAAGGCACAACCAGCCATGCCCTCATCCCRGGAGGGATGTCCAGCCACGCAGGGAGCTCTGCAAACAGTTTCACTTAAGGGAAAGCAAGAACAGTGGATTGAGGTCTCTTGCTTTACAGTGTCACAACATAGAGACATTTGTGCTGCATTACATGGGGATTTATAGGGAATAAAATAKCAAGTTTTTTACCTCAAACCTCTCATGACAAGCTGGGGTTAAAGATATCCTTAACATAGGAAGATGATAGATCATGAGATGCTAGACCTGGTCACTGCTCTAGCCGATGCTGACCTAGGGCTCAATAATGCAAGTCCTCTGATGACAGTACACAGCGACGGTGGTTAGTGCTAACCACCACTTCCAAACCTAGGGAAACAGGAGCTTCCCTAGGCTGGATGGGATGGGGAAAGGCAGTGCTTTCCTCAGGACCCCTTTTGAATGGTGCACCCATCGCCAGACAATTATATCAAAGCAGAATAAAAGCAAACGAAGAATCTGGAGACCAGTCACATCAAATCCTACCAATACCCTGGAAACGGAGCACTCCTGTATTTGGCAACACCAGTAGAAATTAATGAGTGGAGCAGCCACAGCTCTTGCTCATTATTTATTCATATACTCGGTAATGCCATCCACTATTAATAGATAGTGGCTTACAAAGGGGAAAGTATTAAAACCCGGTGGCAGATCATAGCTGGCTTTAGCACAGAAATGACGAGGGGAGCTGGGGCCTGAGCATTAGGATGTCACCAAAATCCCTTCAGCAAAGGGACTCCCTGGTGTGTCCCGCAGCCTGGGAAATGATTGCTCTCAAGGAAGGGACTAGGCGGGGACTAGTGCCTAGGAAGGGACTAGTGAGGCCAGGCCCTGTGCTGGCTCCCCCAGGGGATTCCCAGCCCCGGCCTCCGAGGAATTTGCAGGCGCAGAGCAAGACAACGTTATTTTCCCAGCAGAAGTAAGTGTTTCCTGGTGCTACCCTGACTAACATTTTTCTCTCCTCTCTTTTATAGCAGCAACTCCCAAGGGGCCCCGGAAGCCAGCAGGCGGGTCAGGTGAGGTGTATTTATATTTATAATATAAATATGTGATAGGCCTACTGCCTAGCATTTAGTGAAAYGCCGGGTTTGCTGCCCACGTGGGTCGGAGTGGCACGCGCTGCGTTGCCACTGCGTGCACGAGGTGGGAGCTGCTGCCCGAGCTCAGGCTTTGGCATGGGAGCCTTTGCCTGCCTGTGTGAGCACCCCAGATGTGCTGCAGAATTGGGGCTTAAATCCCCTTTCCTTTGCACTTGTAGTGACCTGGAAGCCCCCTCACAAGCAGCCGCTGCTCTGCAGAGGGGCGACTTCAGCTGCTTGAGCTGCTTTAGCCTCATCTGTCCACACACCTCTCCRAACACATCCAACCCACCTCCTCTTGCTCTTTCCAACAAAACTGTCACGTTGTAGGGAAACCTGCCTGTATCTGTAGAGCTCCAATATTGGAGGGGCGAGGATCGGAGCTACAGAGCACGGCCTGGAAGCTTGCTGAGCACCTGCACTTGGTGTCCAGGGGAATAAGCAGGTGGATGGTGGGAGGGAGGAAAAGCGTAGCAGCACTTGAGATTGCAGGCCTGAAGCTGAGGTGCTTCTGGTTTTCTGTGAGCAAAGATCTAGCTTCCTGAGCTTCTCTTTTCTTCTGTTTCCCAATTCCCTTCAGTATAAGAAAGCTGGTACCAACATGCATTTATGAAGAGCTTTGCACACTCCCTCCATAAGGCTTAAGTAAATGAAATATTGATATTTCTGTCCATCCTGAAGGCAAGTGGTATTAGAGCATTTATGGTCAAGGCTGAGTTTTGCACACTTTGCAGTATCCTAATGGAAGGGACGCAAATCACAGCTCAGGTCTACAAAGGTTTTTATGTCTCTCAGCATGGCACCTACTCGCTTTCTTTACAGGAGAGAGCTCAGAGAATCTTTCTGTTCTTTCTTTTTCTCCAAGATATCCCTCACTTCCACTGAATGCACTGGTTTGGTGAAGTTTTCCTGTCTAGAAAAACAACATTTCCACAGCACTGTGCCTGTCCCAGCTAGCTAGATGCACGGCATGTGCCCAACACTTCGGGGAAGCTTCTGCTGACATGAAAGTTTCCTTGCTCGCGTCTCCTGTAGCTCAGTTCTGGCCAAACATACCTCCTTAAATATAGAGCAGTCACAAGGGCTGTGGGTTGCTCAACCCGGCAAAACCCAGGAACCTGAAATAAACTGCAGCAGGGGAGAGCTCAGAAGTGAACTGGCTTGCTCGAACACTAGGATCTCAGCATGAATTTAGCGGAGGGAAGCCGACCTGGCCGTCCGTGTCCCCGGGCAGCTCAGGGACACCGGGAGCAGGGTCGCGGGGGCCTGCGGTGCTCGGCGCACACAGGGCTCCRCGCGTTTGACTCCCGCCTTCCCTCGCCGCAGACTTCAGCCTGTGGGACGCCGTCCTCACCACCACCACGCGGCGCCCCAAGACGACGCGGGCACCTCCCAAGCGCGACCCAGGTGAGCGCCGACCCGCAGCCGCTCTGCCGCCGCGGGGGCCGCCAGCGAGCTCCCTCTGCCCCACGGCCGCGTGGGGGGACCAGCGAGCCCAGGGCGGCTCTGGCAGCGCCCAGCCCGCTGCGCCAGCCGCGCGGCCCGGCACGGCACCGTGTCCCCGGCCTCCCGCGGGGCCGCCCGCTCCGCGACGCGGCACCTCCGCTCAATCCGTTGTGCCAGGCCGCTTCTGCGGGAGAAGCAATATTTAGCCCAGTGACCGCCAAGCGGCACGAGCCCCGAGTGTCACCCTGGTGAAAGCGGGAAGGGTTTTTGTCAGTGCCCTCCACCTCATTCACTGACACTTTTCCCTGGCAAAGTTGAGCACTTCCCTGTGGAGCAAGTTTGCTAGAGCTGGGGAGCTTCCCAACCTCAGGGCTGACTAACCAGTGGGTTGTTTTGCAGCAAAGGGTGCTATGGATTTGGACTTGGCCGATGCCCTTGATGACAGCAACGACAGGAAAGGCGCAGGGGAGAAGCCGAACATAAAGCCTGGTGAAGGTACAGAGCCCAGCGAGGAAGCCAACTCCCAACTATTAGACTGGCTTAACTGGGTGACGCAAGGGCACTTTTTGGGGGCGTGCAGATAATTCAGACATCTGTGGGAAAGCTCTAAGCATGGAGCTGTTGGAAGGCGGCACCCATCTCCAACCAGGGAGCCAGCAGCTTTTAGCAGCAGTGCCACGAGGCTTCACGCGCGCCGCGTCCGGCTGCAAACCCTTGCGGGGCGCTCTGCAAACCTGCCCTTGTTTTATCTTATTTTTTTAAACAGCTTTTTCGGATGATGACCTGGCCAGTGTGATAGATGGCGGCTACAACCCCGACAGGAAGGGTAGGTGCTCAGTGCCTGTGCCCCTGGGCTCCGGGGAGGCGGGATGTTGGCACAGACCCATGGGACCCCCACTGAGCCACTGCCCACACCCTGTCGTGGCAGAGAGGCYCTAAAATGCCAGAATATGACAGCAAACATCCCAGGTCCTGCACGTGAGCACCCAGTCCTGTCACCCAATGCCATGGCAAGCAAGGAGCAGGTCCTCCCCTTGCCCGCAGCTGCAGAAAGCCAGCGGTGCAGGGAGCAGACACTGAGGCTGCACCTCATGAAGTAGACCTAATAAGCGAGGAAATAAAACAAGAAAGCCATATCTGTTGGCTCAGCTGCAGGACTTTTGCCTGTTTTTGCACTGAAACAGAAGTCACCGTGTCAGCTAAGAGCCTGGAAACCAACAGTGCTCTCTCCTTCCTGGAGGGACAGCGCGTTGGGCTCTCCAGCAGTGCCCGGCTCTAGCAGGGCCAGGAGGACAGAGCGTTCCTGGAGCCCACGCCAGCAGGTTGAGGTGCTCATCCTTGGTCCCTAGAAGCTCTCAGGTGGCAGGTCTCACGGCCACCTCGGTTGACAACAACCACCCCAGGGACCGACAGCGGCCCCCAGGCACAACGGTGCTTTGAACRGCTCCGGTGCTTGCCTGGTGTGACCACCCATGGCTGGGGACAACAGGGAGAAAACAACATAGATGTGCAAGACCGCRCGCTCACGAGGAACCACAGCATTAAATATTAAAAGCAGTCAAGTTAAAGTGATGAGCACCACAAGCCCAATCAACGCTAATGAGTCACTGCGCTGAGGACAAACCACACTGGAGACGTTAACGCAACGCTGACCTCCTTCCATAAATTCAGCATTTAAGTGACTTGTTAAGAGCTGCCGCTTGCTGCAGGAACTACTTTCCTCCCCAGCTCAGTTTCTCCAGGGAGAAACTCCTAGAGTGTTGGCGAAGGCCATCACAGACCCGCTCCAAACTGGGAGAAGGGCTGTCCCCTCATTGCTCCCTGCCAACCTCCCAGTCCTGGCCGCCTGCACCCACACAGGCCTCCGTTAATCCCGTAACACTGTTGTCATTATTACTACATCCCTGTATCACTAGCGGTGGCCCTGATGCCCGCGTGTCTTGCAGGTGGTGGCGGCGGCAGCACGGAGGGTGACCACAACACAGGTAGGTGCCRGGGCCGTGCTGGCTCCACGGGGTCCCTCGGGGCAGCGGGTGCACGGACACCGAGCCGCCTGCGTCCCCTTCCCTGCAGGCAACGTGGCCGAGACCGGGACCATCGCCGGCATAGCCAGCGCCCTCGCCATGGCGCTCATCGGCGCTGTCTCCAGCTACATCTCCTACCAGCAGAAGAAGTTCTGCTTCAGCATCCAACGTAAGCAGCCACATCCCTACCAGTCTCATGGGGTGCAAACCCCGGGAAGGGAGGGAAGCTCCCCGGAATGCGCAGGATGGAGGCTGAGGTACCCCCGTGCAGCCCTGCCCTTCGCCAAGGAGGAGAGCGGGGCAGCCCTTCCTAACACAGACAGAGCAACCATTGCCCCCCAAGCAGCCACTTCCATTTTCTAGCCTAAAGACACCAATAAAGCCTTAAACTGGGCTTTAAACGCAAGAGCTCCTGGTGCAGGAGAGCCCTTTCCTGCGCGCAGGAGCGAATCCGGGGCTCAGGTTCCCCCAGGCATCAGGGCCTGCTGCCCTCGTGCTGTTTTACTGAGGCGCCATCAGGGCCCTGTGACCCCAGGAGCAAGAACCAGACCTCCCAGGGGCAAAAAGAGAGGTAAAACCCAAGCATCTCATCAAAAGGGAGGAAAGGAAAACACAGGCATCTCAGCAAGAGGTAAAAACAAGGGGCAAAACCCAGACACATCAGTAAGAGGTAAAAACTCACCAGGTAGCAGAAAGGCGAGCGCAGCAGGAGCAGCATGAGCCAAGCTGAGCCCATCTGATCTCCGCTTTGCCCGTTGCAAGTGGCTGCAGCTGCGGTGGGCGGCACAGGCAGGTGCTGGTCGCTGTGGGCAAGCAGCAGTCCCCGTGGGCAGCTGCAGCTGGGCTTGTCCTCACCAGGAGCAGCCTTTCTCTAGGCCGCCCCATGGAAGGGCTCTGTTTAACCATACACTATACCATACCATACAGCCATAACCAGGAAACACATATAGCAGGAGAGACAGGGATCACGGTGACYGGTGCTGCCCACGGAGCAGCTCCCGCGTGGCCTGGACGTGGTGCTGGGACCCAACGTGTCCCCAGGGGCCGGGGTCCCATCCTGCCACCGCGTGGAGGTGACATGGCAGGTAGTGGCAGCTGGAAAAAAAAAGGCCCTTTAAAATTAAAACCCTTCAAAAGGCTCCTTTGCTCTGGGGGAAGGGGGGCTGGAAGCTTCTGCTGGAATGGTGTTATTTTCCCAGTTGTGCCTGAAACAAACAGGAGAATTTGGGTAAATTAGATCAGCAGGAAAAGTCAAATGAATGTGATAGAGCGAAACACCCTTGCATATATCCCCCCACTTAAATGATATTTTGGCAGGAGTAAATAATTAAAAAAAAAAGAGAGTGAGGGCTTTGATGAGGGGAAAGCTGAGAGACACAAAGCCCTAGAAAGGCGGCAGGAAATTAAAGTTAATTATAAAGGAGGATTAATTTAAGCCATCAGACATGGCATGCTGGGCTAATGTCAGGCCTTRGATGCATTGCAATGCATGACAGAAATCTAAGAGCCGTCAGCCGCTGCAAAAGTGGCTTTTTATTGAAAAACAGAAATTGCATTTAGTGTTATCCCATCAAAACACACGTCTTGGGGGAGGCAGTGGTGCTGTTAATGCTGGAAGCACAGAGGGGCTGCCCCTCTCCATGGCCCTCCTTCCACAGGGGCAACTTTGTGAGCTCTCTTCCCAGTTCTGACCCTTTGGGGACTGGTGCAATTCCCGGTTTCTCCGATGGCTGCAGAGGAAGCCGCTCACAGCGTGTCCTGGGGGCACGGCCAGCTGGGGCAGCCCTGGGCTGGGCAGTGCCCTTCGGCCTCCTCCTCCTCCYGCCTGCAAGGGCGAGCGGCTTCCTGCCCAAGTGCTTGCACTTGTTGCAAGCACTGGGAACTCTGTGTTTTRATAACAGCTTTACCAGGCTTTGACACCCTGCTGGGACCCTGCCTCATCAGCACAGCCCTGCTCTTCACTGCTTTTTACAGCTATGCGTAATGTAGCTTTTAATGAGAAGCAGCCCCTATAGTTAGCACCCTATATCGGTGCTTCGGCGCAGCCCCTCCACGCAGCAGTCCCATCCAGGCAGTGCCCCCATGCGCAGAGCTCCGACGAGCGGAGACTCCTTCGTGCAGGAATTACCCCCTGCCCCCCACAGGGATCTCCCTTGGCCTTAGTGCAGGAATTACCCCCTGCCTCCTGCACGGATCCCCCTTGGCCGCCTCGTGGGATGAAGCTGAAGCCAGAGAAGCAGCTTTTACACAACACAAGGCCATTCCTGCAGTTTTCCAGGCATCAAAGCCTTTACTTCCTGCCCTCCCATCTCACTCTTTATTGTTACTTCCCAGAGGGACTTAACGCGGAGTATGTGAAAGGAGAGAACATGGAAGCGGTTGTGAGTGAAGAACCTCAAGGTGAGYGCTTTGCACCCGTAACCTTTGTGCCCCTGGCCACAAAAGCAGCTTTACTGAAGGACTTCCCTTAAATTTGCTCACGCTTTGCTGAGCTGCAGCGTCTCTTTGATGGAGACACCACTTCGGTTTGGCTGCAGCTCTCCATGAGTGTTTTTCTGCCACAGTGTTTTCACCCTTGCTGTACACAAAGAAAATCTCCGCATTACGAGMCCAAGGATCTAATTCTGCAGACAGTGGCAGTTAGTATTTAGCTGTCATGTTTTCAACCACCAGAAGTGTGTTATACAGGAAAAGCACAATCCTTCTTTCAGTGACAGATAATCAAGGCTGAGCCTCCCAGCCCCGGGCACCCACTGCGTGCAGTTCAGCTCCTTTGTATGATGTTGTATTCACGATCCCTTTTTTCCTTCCTAGTTAAATATTTAGCACTGGAAACGCAGTCAGCAGAACCACCCAAACAGGACGGTGCGAAGCTCTGAAGCATGACCTGGGGCTGGAAGAGAGTCAGACAGCAGCCAACGTGGAGATCCTACAAGCTTGTAATTTAGCTYTTTATTTAATTTGAATCCAAAGCTATTTAACGTGCACTTAGGCTTGAATTGGCTTCTTAGTGCTATAGACTCTAGGGTTGCAAGGGTAGTATGTGTTTATTTTTTGTAAAGACTTACATGTTTACATTGAAGTACTGTTGTGGGCTTGATCTCAAGTTGAATGCAGACCAAGGGAAGGGGCTTCAGTAGAGTCCGAGTGTCAGATAAGGGACGAGGTCCTTCCCAAGGAGCCGAAGGACTTACTGGTGTGACTACAGTGAAGTGCCTGTAAATAGCAATCCAAAGCAAACCATGCAGAGCCCTTTGTAAATCACTTCTGTCTGACTTCGCCATCTACTAGGGGCACACAACTTCCAGTGGCAGTGATGAAAACTGCACGTTTCCTGAGCGTAGATTGTGCTGCTTAGAGTCGCTACACCTGAAAATAAAGTGCCTATGGGAAGGTCCTCAGGTGGGGCCGCAGGCTGAGCCGGGTGACACCCTGCTCCTTGGTCCAGGATGCTGCCAACCACACAGCACTGGGCTTCTAACCAAATAAAAGGACCTGATTTTCATCCCAAAACACTACTACAGGTAATAGCCATGAATGCAGTGCTCATTTTTGGCAAATACCATTTGAACACGYGGCAATGCTAGAGGTCAGAACGGAGTCGAAGTTACAAAGGGATAGAGTTTGCCTCTGTCATCAACAAGATACCTACATTGTCATCAAAATGAAATGAAAATTGTGTTTTTATGCTTCCAAGGAGAGATTCAGCTCTCATTCAGACCAGAGCAAATTACAGATTTAACCCAAAAGGAAATAAAGAGCAGGTCAGTTGAGACCTGTGACTGCCACATGCCAAGCCAAGCCCACCAGATACTGTCCCTCCACGTCCTCCAAGCACCCACACAACTATYGAGAAGGGTCCCTGTCACCTTAGGCAGAAAAGGGGTGCAAAGCTTTGACCCTTGCTGCAGGATTTGTGCTTATTCACAGCATCCCTCCACATCTCTCYTTTATTGATGCTAAAATGTGAACACTGCTACTCACCCATACATTTTCCCCAAACAGTGAATACTTAAAAATGCTTTAAAGTGAGGGGAAATTCAGTTTACCTAGTGCAAAAGRTACTCTGTGTTTATATATAAACCTGAAATGTCTACATTTTGTAATGTTTTGCAAAAACACATATAATGTGAATGTGGATAAAAAAAGTGTTTTCTGTTTGATGTACAAATTCACAGCTTTCATGTAGGTATGACTTACACAAGGCCTTGCCAAAAGGTGAATAAACCTAGGAGCTTTTCTGTCTAACAGCTCCATTTGAAAGGAAATTGCCTAGTAACATTACAAGGAATTTGCAACAACTGCACAATTCTTAAGTTGTTTTTGCACTTGCATTTTCAAAGCCTTACACTAACTCTAACAGAACAACTACCACATTTTATAAGGCAGACAGATCYTAAAAATATATGGCAACTCGCATTTATTTGGACCACATGGGCTACAACAACCCTGCTATTAATTACTGCTACTTTGTTTTATTAATAGATTTCARTTAGAAAACTAACTACTGGTTTCTCTGAAACTGGAAGCAGAAGAAATAGACACAGGATATGGAATATATATTTGCTTATTCCTCGAGGTGGATTTTTATGGAGGAGATGAGGGTTGTACATACACTAGTGCTCAGAAGCACCTGGGTCTGGGTAACTACTTCTCCAAACACTGCAGCCTGTCCTTTCATAGCCAACATATCTGACAGCTGTGATGTGAAAACATTTTTAGAAAATAGATAAAATGGTGCAATATGGCATTGATAAACGGTAAGAGTCATATTCCCTGGGCAGATCCAATGAACAAGGAAAAAATAACAATTTTTGGAACTCTGCACTGAAGTTGTTCCTTTTGCCAAAGCCTTTTCTGTGGCCTTGGTGAATATTTATGCCTTAATGTAATTTAAAGGTATGCGTAAGGAAAAATGTAAATGCCCAGTGAAAGGGAGCACCTTTTTCAAAGTTTACAGTAACAGAAATCAAGATTTCTTTCTGAAATATTTCTCATGGGGAAATATTGACAAATACTGCAGTAAAGAAATTAAACCCAGTCTCTTCAAAAACAACTGGGCAAAAACCTACAGCCTCACGTGCTAAATGTCAGTTCAGACTCAAGTGCTTTTTTATTGCAGTTTGTTTCCTCTGTCAGAACTGTCTGCTCAGTCTCTGAAAAAGGAGGAGTTCACACTTCACATCATCTAAACTTCAGACATTATAGCAATGGAGAAGGTTCATTTGTATTTTCCTAGTAATGATAAAAGCTCTAAAACATCTGATACGGCATTCACCCCTCTAACTACCTGCATTTAATTAGTACATTTGTTATTTTAAAATCTGGATATGGAATTAAAAAAAAAAAAAAAAGTGTTCTGTATACATGGTGTGAACTTTCTCATCCTGTATATAAAAAAGGCAATAAAACACTGACAAAAAAAGGATTTTTCTCATTAGTCCCACCTCCCTTCTTCAGATCAACTCATGCTATTTTAATGAAGAAAAATCAGAAACAGGTTTCTCTATTATATAGAAAACAGAATAGATAAGCACTCAACACTACTTTTGCTGTTATTAGATGAWTTACTCACATTTTCCTGTGGCCATGCTGTAGCAGTTTCTTCATTTGAGACTGCTGTGCCATGAGATTCATCATTTCAGAATGTTGGGACATCAGTTTGGGCTTTTGGGGACAAGCTGAATTCAAGCTGTTTCCTCTCCCACACATCACTCACAATAAGAAAATCCTACAGGTCAAATTTAGCAGCTTGCTGTGTGTGCACATTCCCTTTGCCCTCCCCTTAGAGGCAAAACCAAAAGCCAAAGCAAGAGGAGATGCAGCTCTATGCAGTTAGAAGTGGATAGTTCTGTTCAAGGTACATCAGACTGGAGACAAGGTTCTGCTCTCAACCACTTCAAGCCTGTCTTATTTAAAAAAAAAAAAAATGACAATTTTTAAATCAGTAAGATCAGAATATGGATATCAGGAAGCAGACCAAGTACAAAGAAAACATCACCTCTTTGATAGCGCTTCTGGATAGAGCTATGCATAACGAGCTATTCAATTTTATATATCTATATATAAAAAAATATGTAACAGCTATATAATATTTCAGAAAATCACCATGCTAAGATATTCCCCCATTCTCTTCCTTCAGATCAGACTCCCTGAGCTAAGCTGGCACTGGTGGATACTCAGGCAGTCAGCTGAAATAAGCAGTAATTTTCTTTGCAAAACTGAATGCTCAATATTAGCTCCAGCAATCTTAAATCTCAGAGTGCCCATGCTAATCCAGTCATCCCTTCCTAATAATTATGCAGGATATATGTTGTGATTATTAGCACTAATAAAGAGGAAAAACTTCAAATGACTTTCCTCAGCACTGCATTTTAGAGATAATGTGCTTTACTTCAATATACAGTTAAAACGTCAAAGAAATCTGAAGTGTGGAAGAGTTTCATTCAATGCCAGCTCAACACATTCTGGCCACTTAAAATTCACTGCCTGCATGCTACTTTTTGGGTTTTTCTTTAAACAGAAAATATCTTTCATCTATTTATTAAAGCTTGAGGTTGATGAAAATTACAAGCTTTCCTTAAGCTTTCTTCTTGTAGGTGAATGCGTATGATAAAATGCAATTATTTAACTATAATGCAAGAGATTGAATACGATGCACTGCACAGTAAACTTGTAGGCCTGGGTGCAGCACTTCTGCCTTTCCTCTAGCAGCTGTGGAAGTGCTCAGCACGTGCTCACCTTGCTCCTTACCTACAAAGCACTAACATGAAGGCAGAAGAGGAGGAAAGCGCATTGCGCTCTCTCACATTAACAGCAAAAGTTCTCCTAAGTGACTGCTCGCAGACACATGAACCACATCAGCAGGCAGACCCAGCTGATCCTCCRGGATGGCACTTAATTCCTGCCAGCAGAACTTGCAGCGATACTAGAGCGAGCCAAAAAGCAGAGCTGCTGTATTCAAAGGGCCTGAAGAGAAGAAAGAGATTCTCAAAAAACAGAGAAGCAAAACAAGCAAAGGGAAATTTTCAGCATGCACCATGTCCGAGCCTTTCAAGGCAGCAACTGAGCAATAACTTGAAAGGTTACTCAGAACAGTAATCAAATCTCTATGATATTAACATATTTCAGGGAGCTAAAGCAAAGGAGAGGAGGTGTATTTTGTATGAATATACAGATCAAGTTATTCACTTTCCAGAAAAATGCAGCAGTTTACAAAACAAAAAAGCCACCAGGCTTTATTTCAAGAAAACCAATTAAGATCATAATTATTTATAAACTTTGTCAAACAAAGTCATTACAAGTTAAGGTCTTCAAAAGAGTCTGGATAGGCAGGATCCATTTTCTGTACTTACAGCTTAAAAACATGGAAGTATGCATATGTTTAACATCACATACACATGTACATAAATGGACACAGCATTGCATTTTATGTGTACACTTTCAAATAAAACACGCTTAGCAAAATGTGGAGCTATACAGACTATACAATTTACACAGCTGGGTGTCATTCCAACCCAAAATATTACCATTTGCTAGAAAACAACCTTTACTTTGTACAAGACCGTGACATGGTTAAGTTTTCCCCTTACTTGGGAGGCTGAAACTGAACAAGAAGCTAAACAGTCTAAAGACTTTATTTAAACTTGTACAAAAGACATTAAAAAAAAAAAACCACTAAAACTCATGCTTTACCAAATATATTACATCATACAAATCAGTGGGTATACTAGACGAATGCAGTTTAACTTCATCCACTTTTAATGGCATATTTAGTCAAGACGTAAAACTGACTTCACTGGAAAACATTTAATTTAAAATCAAATTCCAAGTGCATCAAATACCTAAAAAAAAAAGTTGTGCTAATCAAAAGAAAAAAAAGGGAAGTGGGTGGAAAAAAAAGAGCTCCTGTTCAGAAGGACTTCAGGGTTCTGCTTACGTGTAAGCATCAGCACGTGGCATTTCCTCCAAGGCTCTCAGCCAGGCCTGGTATCCCGGTAATTTTTTCATCTGCCTGACGGATGGATTCCTTTTCAGCATGGTTAAGTTGTTAGTTGCTCAAAACAAAGTTAATTTCACAATTGGGGATTTGGCTAGTCCAAACACGCGTGGGAACTGCCAACGAGAAAATACGTCACGTCTATTGAAGCTCTTTTGGCCTCATCTTGATAACACCACACACAGTAAGGCAAGTAGATCACAGCAATGGTAAGTCACAGTTCTTGCGGGATGGGAGGAACCTTCTGCCCTCCTCTATTACCTGACATAAATGGGTTTACAAGTGGCTTGTGTTACACTTCACACAGAGGTGTGCACCGGCGTGGCTGAGTGCGAAGGAGAGGAACCTCTATCAGAGGAGGAGGAAATGGATCGGGTAGCTGCTTCCCGCTGCAGGTCTTCAACCTTCTTCTGAAGTTCAGTCCGGATAGCGAGTAGTTCCTTAAGATTTTGATGGATTGGAACCTGCAGAAGAWGAAAGAAAAGGCTACTTTGATGGCGATAATCAACTCTCCTCTTAAGCAACCACTTTGCAGCTTTCTTCTGAAACACAAGAAATCCAACGCCTGTGGGTTTCATTATATCAATATTCAGGGAGAACAAATCTTCAATCATCTGAAAGTTCAGCAAACTTCCTAACACAGTTAGCAAAACAGCTCAAAAGACTGTGTAAATTGACTTGATGGGATATCAAATTATTTCAATACATGTACTGCTATCCCTTGCTATCAAAACCGTTTTCAGATGAATTTAAAATGTCTTCTCTACCCAGAAATTTGYCATTTCTGCCTGTTGGGACAGATTTTTTTTATATAAGAAGAATTTACAGCGCTGGCATTTAGTGTTTTGGTCAGGACAATGAAAAGGATAACGTCACCCAGTTTAATCCCTACGGATTTAGCCTGAGGAGCTCTTGTCGAGGCAGATTTTCAAAACGCAACTCCAGAGGTTGCGGTCAGACGCGGCAGCGCGATCCCTGTTAGAGCTCGGCCTAGAGGACGAGCAGGGAGGAGACTCCAGCTGCTGGAGCTCCGAGCGGGGCACGTTGACACATTCCCTCCCCCGGGCACCTTTCCAGGACACCGGCCCCTTCCCGCCCGGCCTGCAGCGAGGTCTGTCAGCGGCGCATCCATGGTGGGGACCACACGCGCCGAGCAGCCCCGCACAGCAGCGAGCAGAGCCGACACGAGCGGCCTCCAAAACACCAGGGCTCTTGGCCAAGGGTCTTTATTTGAGTTGCAGAGGGAATTTTTCACTCTTGCCCCGAGTGTTCAATTATATCAGGGCACAAGAAGACCCAACTCTCATTGTTCTTTTGCAGCTGGATCTGTTATCGCAGACAAGCACGGAGACCTCTTCTTCTTCCAAATGCCAGAGAACAGCCAAAAGAGTTGGACTGCCAACTGCTTTTAATTTACTTTATTCTTCAAACTCGGAATTGTTTACAGCTTTTGGAAGGAGTAAGATGGATAAAGAATTTAACTGGGCTGGCARGACAATCGTGGAGAAATGCAGAATTGGGAAACCTAAAGGTCGTTAGACACCAACTCGTTTATTCATACCCGATGTGTCCGGAATGTCAGGCTCAAGAGATTTGCACTGTCATCCCTTCCTGCTGCTCACAAGTGATTACAGGGCAGGCTGTAACATCTAGGCAAGGAATTCTGAAATGGGGCTGTGTGAAGAAGATACTAAGAAACAGAAATGTGGGGTTTTTTTCTCCAATTTCTCCAACTTAGTCACTTTCTACCCTTTTGTGAATTCAGACTTTTTAAAGAAAGTATCAAAATCTGAAATATGGAGTTTTAGATCGTCAAAATCTAACATTTGTGTTTCTGAAACAGAAAAAAAATAATTTTGTTTCTAAATGTACTTGCATTTTAGCTTGAAAGCACGAGTTTGCATAGGCGAAGGGAAGCACTTTTTGCCCCAGAACTTCCTTCTAGTTCTGCGGTTTAGCTCATGAACAGAAACTGCAGTCCATTCACAAAGCCCCAGGACCCTGGGAGTCGTCAACTCCTCCATTAAGGCCCCTAGGGCACTTTTTGAAGTGCAACTTTGCATCTTCAGAAGAATTTTCAGTGCACACTAGCACTGCACGTTATTCCTGCGTACGGGATGCAGAAGCCTGGCGTCCTGCCTTTGCCCTGCAGTGAATCCGTTCCCTTCCTGCAGTCCTGCTCAGCGAGCACCACACAAGGGTTTTCGCAAGGGCGACGACAGCCAAACACAAACCTCCTCCTACAGAAAGTTAACCTCATTTTCCAGAGGGAAGTCTTCACAAAATACATACACCTATGAACACATCCAAACGGAGCTCAGCGATGAAGTTTCTCCAGGAGGCTGTCACACATGCCAGGGGGGATCTGAACTTCAGTGAAGATCTAGATTTTCCTCTGGGATTAGCACTGTCCTCCCGTGAGTAAAACTCCTGTCCTCCTACACTCCTGCTGCCGAGTTCTTTATGAAGACATTTTCCTGGAACACTAAGGTCTGTAACAGAATGATTTAGCTATTGGTATCATTAGTCACGCAAGCCTGGGGTCACAGGAGATTTGTACACCTGATTTCTGAGCAGCTTARTCATCACTGAGTGTAACAGGCCAATTTCTCTTCGACACCTTTCAACTAAGTATTATCCAGTGTGTTTCAGCACACGCTACTCACACACGTGTGAAAAGCAGGATCCTGCAATTGGCTTTCGGGGAATTCACTACGGCATAGAAGGTGCTGCAGACCCAGCTCGCTCTGTATGGAGCTTAAAGGAGGAGGAGAGGGGCTGCCTCCTGCGTTCCCCCAGAGCCAAGTTCAGGAAACTGCATGCTCCAAATTTTGATAAAAGTGTTGTTCTCCCAAAGCTTCCTTCTCAAATAACAGAATCACCTTAAAATAAATTATCTAAGCAACAATAATGGCATTTTTGATGGGCATGCATAATCACGTCACATAAAAGTTTATGTTGAAAATAAGTAACCTTTGTTTAATAAATTGAAGTTCCTTTATGGATATTCTATACTTTCATCTTATGTCAAGAAGAACATGTATATTTGCAGCATCCTAATGAGGCACAGAAGCAGTAAGACTCCACTTTTGCACACAGGGAACCAAAGGAAGCACATCCTCGTTTTGYACACCTTGGATCTCAGGAAAGCCCTTCAGAACTCAGTGATTCAGCTGCTGGGTTTCAGACGGACACCACCAGACAAGGAGCACACACAGAGTGGCCTGGCTTTTAACGGAGGAATCTTGGGGCAAAGGCCCAGGGAAAGCCCTGCTGCTTCTCTAGAGCTGCACCCTGCTCTCCTGCCCACAGGACAACCCGGGCTTTCTCTGCAGTCTTGCCCCCTGCAACCTGCTGCTTCCAAATCTGGCATGAAATGAGGGGTAGATCCTACAGAAAACAGTATTTTCCAGGACTCAATCTACATCACAACAGTGAAATTGAAAAAAGGAAGATTTCACATGCTAAACTTCAGGTATGTTCTTTTCTATCCTGAAATAACATGTCCAATTCAATCTAGAGAAAGCCGGTAGCCACAGAGGATCTGAATGGAAGAGCTCGTCTTCCGTAAGTCCAGTCCAAAGAAAGGACAAACCTGAAAACTCTCTTCCCAATCAATAAATCCAAATAGAATAGGACTAAAATCTATCTAGTTTGCTTGAGACAAGAAGTCAATAATGATGCAAAACCTGCAAACTGAAAACGAGGAACATTTTATTTCAATTAAGAATTAAAATGACCTTGCGGAAGCACAACTCACGAAAAGGGAATCCACACGAGATGTCCCCATTTAAGGTAGAACTGTCCACATAGTCCACTTCCCAGCCACTTGAGCTTTGAACCTTTGGAAAGGAGCTGTGTGTCACCTAATTTGTCAGGATCTGTTGTAATACAATCATTGCTCTAAAAAGGGCATCTTGACAAAAAAAAAAAAAAAAAAACCCACACAAACTACCAAATACACCAATTCAGCTTCCTCCAAAACTTAAGGTCAACATATATTTCCACAAACTTGTCTTTACAGAGCATAGGAAAATTCTAAATTCTGTATGTCCTAATACACTGATGAATATGATCACACCTTCCCATACTGTATTACTGTCTAAGGAGACAAGGAGAGTAAAACAAAACAGAAATATTTACATCCAGCTAGTATTCAGATGGCAGTTTTCAAACAGAGAAATAAAGGTGATGTCTACCTAACTCAGACAGAAAAGTGAATAAACTAGGATGATTAACTTCTCTCATCCCATTTAAAAATTCAAGCCTCATTCATTAATAAAGCTAAAAATACAAATCTCAAGTATTGCCTGAAATCAAACACTACCTTTTTGCTTTTATGTATTTTCTCTCTCATAATATAAAGTTAGCTGAGAAAGGGTATCAAACATCCCTTTTGGTTACATTAAAAAGCTTTTCCTTTATTTTCTCTTTCTTATCTTCCCTTTATCTTAATTCACGTATTAATCATTTCTGCTTTTTTTTTTCTGAGAAAACCTGTTGAAAAACTACAAACGTTTTCCAGTTTCCTAAGATTTTTTTTTTGTAGCTGATGAAACAGCATGAAGTTAACTTGAATTGCTAGTCCTTGGAGATTCCCTTTATTAACATTAAATATTTCATTTTCTGTTACTCCAGCTGAAAAACAAAAGAAGCACATTAAAAGTATTCAACAAAGCTGCCTTTTTTGCTAGAGATGTGTCCCCCTCATCCACCTTTTTTAAACTATCTCCACTGATTGTTTAAGAAATCTTTTTACCCGAAGGTTAGTGAAAGCCTGCTGGTGATGATCCTTTCTGCTGTTACTGAATGATCTGAATGCTACTGAACGGGCTAATAGGATCTGAAACTTGGCAGCTCAAAACCAGAAGAATTTAAACTTTGTAAATTGTAATTACATAAACTGTTATTTACTTATCTGCACAAGTCTGAGGTGTTATAATGAGATTGAAGAACACAACCAACAACCATAATTTTTTCAAGAAATCTTTCCAAGTAAATGTGGTACTTCAAAATACTTGTCATGACACAAAATTCAAGCCAGAAACCAGAGAAAACAAGTGAAAGGGCACGATGCACGTTCGTAAGACAAAGCTATGTTAGCTCTTCTAAAAGACAGAAGTAGAGTGAGGACAATTTTTCAGGATTATAAGATTTTACTATTTTTTACTAGCACTTTAGGCCTGGAAATCAATTACGTGGCTTTGCTATTTGGAGGGATCTGTTCTTAAAGACCACAGAGAAGTGGCACACACATACAAGAATACACCCAGAGCGCTCTCCAAAAGGCGGGACAGAGAAGCAGTGAGCACTGCTGGCCACCAACAACATGAGAGCCAAGGTATTTTCTCACTCTGTCATTTCTCCCCACCTCTCAATCTCTTTTGGACAGGGTTTGGCTTTCACATATGTTTGCAGAACACACTAAGCCTGCTCACTTTCAGGGCCTATTGATCCCAATTAAGTCCAATTAATAAACTGACATTAATGCATGTCAATTAAACTACAAGAAAGCAAGCAATCCAGACTCTTCCAGTACTTTAAAAGGGATTTCTTAGACACACACATATTTCTGTGTGTACTGCCCTTGAAGCTCACCTAGGAACACCATCTTTTACAACAGCCTCTGACTTGTGGGTGTCTAATAAATTTGAAACTCACGTCTCTCTAACTGCTAGAAGATGAAAGCCCCTTTTCAAGCAGTCACTTAATACGGGTAATTTATCATAATACGCTTGGGGATACCTTGGGATGTTAACTTAATAAAGAGGCTGTGCAGCACCCTCAGATATATTATAGCTGTGACACAAACTGAATATTCTTTCTTCCGACTTCTAAGCAGGAGCACCTAAGAAATATTTGCAGGATGAGATTTAGAGATTTATCTGAATAGCAGGCATTACTTAAAAGAACAAACATTGGATGAGTCGAGGAATACGTATAAGAAGTGCTTAATCTCTAGCATGCCAGCTTGAAAACAAAAAGGTCAGTTGAAAACAAGTATCTAGAAGACGGGACATTAAGAGTATCTATAAACTGAGTTGCTAAACTGAGCTAGTTTAAAAACTAGCTTTAAACTGAGCTTTAAAAACTGCTACTCTACATCACTGTTAGCAAATGACAAAATCTTAACAAAGCTATACCATATAAGAAGGGTAAGGCAATATAGAAAACACAGTAATGACCTCTGCTCGAGTTATAAAAATATTCTTCTAATAACAACAACTGTTAATCTGCACCTTTCACAACCAAACCAAGTGATATTGTGACTCTCCTCTTCCGCTGATGAATTTAATGAAAACATTGTTTTACCAAGTTTTATCATAGCAGTTTATTTGAGCTGTGCACTTTGCCAGAAAACACAGCAGTCAAGTGAAAGCTCATACCTGAGGGCGCATTCTGGGGTTCCATCTGACGTAGTAGTTCACCCACAGCTCCAAGTGGTTCAGACTGGCTACAGGATACAGGACGTGGTTTTCATAGTTCACGTAGAAAGGGTTCGTGAATTCATCTAATTGACTGTTTATATAGGACCACAGTGATACAGTCTTCGTGTTTACCTCCTGATTAAGTAAACGAAAACAGTTAAATATTAGGATTGCAAAAGCTTACAACAGRAGGACATTAATTACATACCAGTAAATTCATCTATGAAGATTACCTTATCTGTTACAAAACATCAGGCCTCTGAGAACACCTTCAGTAGCTGGTCATTAAATAGTCTTAAAGCTTTAGCAAAACTTTTAACTTCTCTCCCCTCTCACAGTTAACTCAGAAAGGAGATTCAAGCACATTATTTTCAGAGATAAGGTCTTGTTGAGCAAAAGAAGGCTCTGCTACTCACAACAGCTACGTCTACAGCCACTGTAGGTATGGTTAAGCACTCTCTGTATGGTTACACACTGACTAAATCAAAAAGATTTAATATTAAATTAGCTCTGAAAAGAAAATCAAAATAGGAGAAAATAAGAGAATATACAATTTGGAAGATCCAAAACATCATGTGTAGGAAATAAATATTCTGTTCTCCTACCCCCACTATTCAGTCCTATATATCCAAATACTAATTTTAAATGCTGATTTTAGCTTTATTTGCACTTGTRAAATTTACATTAGCTAAAATCTAAACACCATAAACATGGTTGGATCAAAGTTTAAAATCTGAATTTAAAATTAGGTTCATTTTGCAATTTTACTCTCCTACAGTATCATAACACATGTTTTTTTTACTACCGCTGTGTCTTAAATTGCACATCCTTGAGAAYTGCATCTGACTAATGATTTATAAAAAAAAAAAAGCAATCTGGAAACCATGCATTTACTGAGAACACGTTACTTAGCTCCATCTTGTGGTATATGCATGCAGTTTTCACCTACAGAAGCAGACACACAAACCACCAAATTAACAAAGCTAGATGTGCCAAGAAATAGTTACTCGCTTTAACAAAAATATAAAGTATTAGAGAAATAAACCCCAAAGTAAGTAAAACTGCACTTGAAATATTAGCAAGTATTAAAAAAAAAAACTTTTTCCAAATTCAGAGTATTTCAGAGAGTGCTATCTTCAGCATTTCATTTATACATTTTAAATGTCCTCTTAGTCTTCAACCTCAAGTTCCATCAAACTATGTCCTARAGTGACCTTCAAATTCATCCACAGGAATCCCTTCAGAAAAAGCAAAAGTTACAGTACTTGATAACATACACTTAAAAGCCTGTATGTTGCCTGAAAATTTTTGGAAGAGGATTTTGTAGAACTTAGAAAAAAAAAACTCTCTGAATAATAATTCAAGAAAATTGAGCAGTACTTCATTTCTTAATGGAGTATTTGGTACGTATTTATCAGACCATGAAAATTTCATATTCGGGCTGTTTAAGTCTGTGTGATAAATATATCCAAAAAGCAGATTTAAAGTTCTTTAGTCTTGTACTCCAAGCACATCCAAATAAGCCCAAAAAATTAAGCATGTGAAATACAAAAGTTATTTACCTCTTTCACTCTCTCTTTTTCACAGTTGCATAAGAAAGTCCCAAAGAGACAACTATAAAGGTGATCCAGAATGGTTATCAAAAATAATTCATTGAATTCAAAGGCTGCAGGAAACTGAAATAAGAAATTTGGTGAAGTTATTCGTATTTTTTTCCCTTTAGTGACTATTTTCAGGAAAACTCAGCAATTGAGTAATTCGCACTGCATTAATACCTTTAAACCATGTGCTTCTTCATAATGTTCCTTAGATACATAATGAATATAAGGTTTGCAAGTATATTAAAATACATGCATGCAATCATTATCTAAAGTGAAACTGTACAGAAARCTACACACTCACACAAAGCAATTCATCAGAAGGAACCCAACCTGACAGCATCCTGCTCCAGCTCAACAAAAATATTGAACTTAACATGTTCTATTTGTCTTGTTACAGGAGAACAAACAACTGGGTGGGAGGAAAGGGAAAAAGAGAGCAATTAAGAGCTTTGTTTCCTATTCCAACAAACAATAACTAATTACTACTAGGTATTTTATTCATGATAGGAAAATACTGGAAATCTTTTAGGAAAACTGCAGAAAATTTGAACACAAAAAACTTTCAAAGGTATCTTTATATATAGTGCTTTAAAGATCATGAAAGAAGACAACATAAACTGCATGGGCTGCCACCTATTCATGGAAAAGATCCTTCTTTAATCACATTTAATAATAGGTCTACGTATGACAGTGGCTTGACACGGCAAAATAACTGCACCCAGAATGACGGCAGTCTCAAACACAGAGATGAAATGAAAAACCTGTACAAGAAAAAAACAATTTAAAAAGATTAAAAGAAAATTTTAAAAGTAATCTTTCTCTCACTACCTTGAATGTGACTGTTTTAAGAGAATGATTTTCAGGACAAATGAACTGAATTTTGTTTGTTCCTAACTGAAGAAAATCTTTGCAGAGGGCTAAAAATAGGTGTTACAGATTCATAATGAATAATTCCTTCCTATATGCAAAAATCTCAAGTCTATATTTCAGGCATGAAGAAAGCAGCAGACTTGGTTCAGTTATCCACGGCACCCTGGATATGAGTGACTCAAAAGCTCTAATAAACCCMAAAATACTCCTCTTCCCAATCCAATGCAGCAACCAGACCCTGAGAACAAAAATAATTTGCAAAAGTCCAAAGCGATATTTGGAAATAACTTTGAAGACAAAGCTGCTCCTAAAGGAACTCTCTTTAACTGGAAACACTTAATGAGCCTTGTCACTTTGGGGTTCTGCACCGTGACGGGTCCGTACTAATCAGACAGACACCAACATGGTAGCTATTCCAATCCACTGAAGCATATTCAAAAACTTCCATACATCAGTGGTTACACGCTGACTAATTTATTAATAAGTGATAGCGCATCACTGAAATACCATCTTTGGATACAAGAGTTGTACTGTTGGAGCTGATGTATCGAGACTGTAAAGCTTTTATTACTGCTGCTAAAAAACCACTGACCTAAAAATTCCTCCCTCTGTAGTTTCAAGCCCATTAGTGTCTGTTTGAAGATTCAGGTGGAAAAATTCCCCAAATGAAAATTTTCTTTCTATCAAATTCACTAATTTAGAGAGAACACACAGTTCATTAAAATCTCTCACCTGATGCTACTGCTCTCAGGTTTTCTTTTGGTATAGGAAGYATCTACCAGAAAAATTCTCTTGTTTATTTGATAACGCCAAGCAGCATATGATTCATAGTCATACAAAATCAAATTGCCTTTGMATTTTATGATTAATAAACTCATTCTGCATTACAGTAACATTTAAGGTTGAAACGCTTGCTATATAAATCTTATGACTGTGGAACTGAACTGGATTAACTTCACTGAATATTCGACATTTTAACAGAGCATTTTATTGAAAGTGATAATGCATTTCTGGCAACGGATGTTATCTGTTAAAAAGGATACAAATTTCTACCAATTTTAAACATATCCTAATCATTAGGAAGATATTACTTAAACAACAATACTACAAGCAAATTTTACAGGTTTGTTTTGTTTTTAACAGGGCATCAGTATTTCATCTCCTTGAAATAGCTTAGATCATTTGTAAGGTTTCTAATTTGAGACTGCTTACTATTCAAAATCATCAGTATTTATAAACAGAGAAGGGAAAACACTGCCTTTTTTATTTTTATTAAAAATCTGCTATCAATACACTCCTCTCAAKTTCTCTATTACTGTATTTTGTGTGTCATCAAGACTGGAAAATATTCAGGTAAATATACGGTTGTCAAATATGAAGTTTCATTGTCTGAAGCTATACAGAAAATTGTATCTTAGTGGGAAATTGGAAATTCTCTCACTATATTAAGTTGAATATTTTAAGATGTAATTCTCAGACCATGAAAACTTTGCTTGCATTTTGCCCTCCCCTCATTTTCACGTATGTTTACCATCGAATCTAAAGCTTCAGACCAGCACTCTTTTACGAGCACTGTTTTACATAGGGGTAAAATAGAATTCTAGTTTTCCCAAGCCCATTCCCAAGGCAATCACAGTCTCCATATATAACCTCTAGGTGTTGAAGTCAGCTAGAAAAAGAAAAATATGTAGGCAAGAGCTCTCCAAGAATGACATTTCAATTTTTCCTGCTCTAACATTAATGATTTTTCAATGCCACTGCTGGACATGAATTTCAGAACAGTTTCTGAATCCAGGTTTTGAACAGATGTGGTATTGGCAAAATGTTCCACAGTCCCCAATCCCCCTCCCTTCTTCTTTTTTTTTTTTTTTTCCTTTTAAACTAGAGGGAACTCAACTGTTTATAGGAAGAAATAGGAGGCAGCCGGGGAGATCACAAAATGAGAAGAGACTGCTCTCAATTAAAGATCTCCCCAGAGCACTTTTGTTCCAATCAGGTGCTTAAGACTGCTGCTTTTTCYTATTGTTATTAACAGTCCTCTGAGAGGAACAACATTTTTCATGCATTTTCTCCAGCCGTATTCAACAGCATATAATGCTGAAACAGAGATCTACAGAAAGAGAAAGGTTTCAAGGGACTCTGGACAGTAGTTACTATTCTGCTATTGTAACAGGGAACTTCCATAAAACACAGAAGTTGATTGTTTTAAATGTAAGTTTTGGAAAGTACAACACAAGTAAGTTTGCAAGCACCACATTCAGAACAAGACGACTGAGGATCTGGCAGCGTGAGCGTCATATGAGATTTCACACCTTCACCTTTCTTTCCTCAAATCAAATTAAATACCACACAGGCTTCTGCAAAAGAAGGTTTTACGATAATATCACAGATCTATATATTAGGCTTCAACGGGAAGGCGGGGGGGGAGGGAAAGGTCAAGCACTTCTAAATTACTTAGAAATAAATTCCTCATTTGTTACTTTGGTAATCTCATTAAAGAACAGCACTATAGAAAGCATATAAAAATGTTAAGTTCATGTTCATGGAGGTATAAACAAGAAGAAAATTAAGATCAAAGCCTGTCTAGAGAATTTTGAGAATTTTAATATTTTATAACCTTAAACACTACACCAACTACAAAGACATCCCCCATTCAGAGGCCAAATTCTTGGCGTTTTGTTTCTAATTAATACTTCTATTCTAGCTCCCTGTAGCTCCGTTTAGCAAAGTTTCCCTACAGTACATGCTCTGTGCAAGTAGCTTCATCCAAACATGCTGCCGCTCTGAGAAGAAATGTGTTCTCCTACAAGAAATACATTTCCAAGACGAGAATAGACACCTCACAGGAATATACTCTTGGGAATCTTACCTGCTTTGTCATTTGCCAAACGCAGTCAATGAACTGAAGGAAAATGGGAGATCTATCTGCATCAGCATGGTCATCATCTCCATGTCCTACTCGCTGGAAATGAGAGCAATATTTTCATTTCTGTCTAGTATATTTACAGTACCATCCCAACATTTCAAAGCTCAGTAATTCTTAAACGTGCTCCCAAAAATCAGCATGAGAAGCATGTCTTTTGCAGTACTAACTTGCATTTTTTCCACCAAGAAAAAGTGCATCCCAGTAGTAATTTATGGATTTGCCTTTGCAGTTGGGCAGGGCGAGAAAGGCATTCAATCAACAGAGCAGTCCCCACGGGTCTGAACAACAGAGTTTGTTTGTTTGTTTTTCATGTGAATGGCCCATTGAGCCCTCAAATGCACATTAATTCAAAAATTCCAAATATAGTCATATTTTGGAATAGATTGTATCATTCATTATTTCATTAGCATGTCCTCTAATCCATCAGGAAGGAAGTGACGTGAATTGGGCATATTAGAGAAGTGGCGAAAAATGCTGATTGGAAGGAATCTCAAGAGGGTATCACAAGGAAACTTCTATCATTTCTGACAGACCATTGTTTGGGGAAATGGTAGTGTCTCCACCACTAAGTATCATATCTTTGAGGATAATTAGCAACTTAATCTATTACTTTTCTATTGTTGCTAATGGAAATTTTTTGCTTTGTGTGTATCTTAATTTTCTCTTTTCATTATTCGGACATACAGTTTTCATTCCAGATGCTGCAGACATCGAGAAGAGAGAGTCTTCTCTGTCAGACCCCTTTGCTGCCCTTCAGTTTCCCCAGATTACACAGCGGACTGGACTGTTACCTAGATCCATGCTCCCCATCTTTCAGGGTACGGCTGTTTGTTTCTGCCAACAGGCAAAACTAGAAGCTATTTACTGAGATGGTRCCAGAATAATGATTATTCTACATCTAGCAGTCTTAACAACATGACATTTCATCTAAACCACCCTACAGCCAGAGCCCACAAAAAATCATAGTAATTTATATCCCATCTCCCCAGTAGCCCATGGTTTAAGTGAACAGGGTGTCCTCAGAGTAATAACTCCAGCAATTTTATCTAAATGAGAAAATGTTATGCAAAATATAAAGCCTTGAAAGGGACAAACCGCAGACTCATTCTTTCAGCTTACCATTGCAAACCTGTGTCCAAAACTTATCCATTCTTTCTCTACAAGAATTTCAAATCCCTGGATAGTTCTGTAATAGCTGTCCAGCATGAGCATAGCTAGAGCCGTGAGCTGGGCAGTCCGATCCCAGCCGTCACTGCAATGCACCACCACTGACGTTTTACCAGATTCAATTTTATCGGCAATTCTTACCGCTCCAGCAAGAAGCATCTAAATAAACAAATTAAACAAGTGTATTAAATACCAACATTCCACAAAGAATTTAGAATTTCATAATCTTGAATTACTATATTTCAAGTTTGCAGATTAAATATGTAACTATCTTGACACCATTGCTTTAGATTACAGATTTCTAAGTTGTGACACACAGCAATAGAGAAACCAAAACCAATTTCTAAATGATGTRTGATCTGTTGCCCAGGAGACAGTCCTTACCCACTTGCTGTTCATTATCAGTAGCACCTAGAAAGAGAAGCTGGGAACCCCTTCTCTAATTTATATCTGAAAGTCTCTATCATTATGAAAATAAAACAAACACTATCATCTTCAGCCTTCTGAATAGGTTCAGTTCAACGTTTGCAAAATTAATTCTCACAGCAAACAATCTCTTTCTTTCTCAGCTTTCAGTTCTATGAGGGACAAACCATCTAGCTTTCCAAAATCAAAATACAAAAAATGAAAACAGACTGCTGGCTGGGAGCTGCGCTGACCTGTTAGTATGTGAAGCTCACACAGTATTTATCTTGCTAATAACCTGGGTTCAGAAGCACTCTGGGGAGTAAAGGGGTAGAGAGGGCACAGGAATGAGACCATTCCGGTAAACCTGTTATTTTTCTCCCCACAAAAATCTTCTATCTCCTCTAAGATTTTTTAGCTTGAATAATCTCTCTACTATTAAGAGCCCTCTCCATAGCTTGGCCTGCCATGGCACTGAGAAATTCATGAAAAGCAGCTGGAACAGCACCACAGAAGGGATTCCTGTCTTGGCATTCTAGCAACATAAAATATATCTTCTAAAGTGCTTGCATTTTTTCCCTTTCCTGGCATGTAAAAACAAGTTGTAAAGGTGATTTTTGGGCCCCAAATCTCTACTTTTTCAAACAGATTTCAAGCCAGACTGATAACAAACAGTTTCTAGATATTCATATTCCCAAAGCCATTTTAGAATATTCCARCTCTAAGAAAACAAGCAAGTTAAACTCTTACCAAAACATCATATTTGCTTAATTCTTAATTTAAGTGTATGCTCCCTCTGCTGGTTCTTCTACCGATGTTAGCAAGCATCAACTAATCAAGGAGTAAAACTAATAAGCAATCCAAAACCTGTTTTGCATGAGTGACATTTGAGCCAATTGCTAATAAAACATATTTCTCTCCATCCATATTCATCATAAGCAGGGCAGTGAATGTGATACTGAAATAATCTATTTATAAAAGCATTTCAGAGGCTAATAAAACAGAGTGTAAAACTGAAGATGCTAATGATTTGCTTTAAGATTATGTTAAATAATAGAGCAGATTATAACCCAGTAAAGCACATGCTATAAGTAGTCCATGAAAATGTAGGCCTCCAATACATGAACATTAACATTGCTTTGAAGAAGGGAAGGATGGGAAAGTTTGCAGAATTTAAACTGAGGTCTTTGGCAGTTGTTCAAACAGCATCTGAAGTTCTCAGGGCAGTTTTCCAAAAAGCAGGGATAACCCTGGACTGCTCACAAGTATTCTCTCAGGAGAATAAAGTGTTTTCCAACACTAAATACCACACTGTGCTATCAGGAATTAACTCATTCCTTAACTCAACAGAAATAAGCTGAAATAAGCTGGAATGGGTATGTAATTTACTTAAAATGTGAAGTGGCTATTTTAAAATTAAGCTTTTTTACAAGATCATGTTTAAAGATACAGTTAAATCTAGACACAAGTTCAGCAGTATTTTCTGAAATTCAAGTAAAAACAATGTTTAAAACTGTTTTTTCACATCAAAAGCTCTTACTCTTATATATTCCAACCAGTGGGTAGAGTCCACATTTGACAACCATCGAGTTTCATCAATAGTAGGATAAACTATTTCTTTAAGTTTACGCAGTGACTCTCTCATTACGTGTATATTATGTATTTCCAGGAAGACCAGCTCTGCATTTGGGTAGGCACTTTCGCTTTCATATCCTCCACCTTTTGCCTGCCATTCAAAAGATAGAAACAAAGACAGAAACCTGTGCATCAGACTTCAGTATAAACCCAGARAAGTTATTTTAGTCAGGTTTTAGGATTTTAGAGATAAAAATTATTTTAGAATAAAGAACATTACTAACATTTGCTTTTCCAAAAAATCACTAAGTTTTTCACAAATGAAATAAATCCTGAAATGAATAGGCTGCATTTAATAATACATCCCCCGTTTCCACTTTTTGCTACTGATACATTTGGCCACATTGTTGTAGTTTTCTATGGAGATTAGTGCATCATTTCTCAGGTCTATCTTCATACCGCCTTGAACTCCTGCTAGCCTAGCCTAAAATGCKGTGAACAACTCAACTTTCTTCCATACTCTTTTTTAATTTACCTTTTATTACCTCTTTTCACATCAAGTTATCTTTATCTCTTCGGCACTCTCCAGAGTTGTGATAAAGATACAAAGATTAATGCTAGTTATTAAACCAACCTACCTTGTTTGTATCTGCAACACTATTCTGCCTGGCATCAAAGATGATAAGTTTATGGGATTGAGCATTGGCATCCATTATTGTCTGCAAATATTTTTCATCCTCTTTGCAATGCTTATCATTTGGGCCTACCAATGGTTGACTGCATCGTGTTATTGTTGCTTGGCTCTCAGGATGAATCCAGGATAATACCTGGAATTAAAGAGAAAAATTTTAGCTTATTATCCCAATGTAAAGGCAGCAGGCCATAGTCCAATTAGATAATCACAATGCATACATGGCATAATTTCCTGGCAAAAAAACATGTAGACTTATRGATAAACTGACCATTTATTTACATACTGACAAATACTATCAGCACACTAGCACCACTGATCATAAATCTGTTCAGCTTGAAATATAAAGCAATTTTAAACAWCTTTGCTTTTATTTCTGATAAAAACAAAGTCTGTTATGTCATTAATTATACAGAAAAAAAGGTAAAATGGAGGAAGAAAACTTGCTTCCATATGGAAGTGTATGGACTTGCACACCTATCTAATGTTATATCATCCTAGGCAGATCTAAAGCACAAATACTGTCACCATCCAGCACACGTAAATCTGTTAATTTATCCAATCTCAGGAAATCTTTATGGCTGTCACACATTCCATTCTGTAACTCAGAATACAAGTTAATTTGTGAAGTAGCAAAAGACACCATTGTAGCCTGTTGCGTGCTGACTCCAAACACAAATTTGTTACGCAGCACAATAACCAAGCTATTATTCTCTCAAATGAGTAGCTTGCTTTAGTTCTAAACCCAGCAAGTCTAATCCTTCCTTCTTTACTCTCTTTTTAGGAAGAGACTATGCCCATTATCCTCATAAAAAACTAAAAGAACTCTGTTAATTTGTATATGCTATAAATACATAGGCCATTATATACTCCTTGTAAAAGTTTCACTTACTGGAACTCTTCCTTTTGCTCTAAACGCTGCCACTTTTGAGAGGTCATCATCCTTTACACTGGTTGGCACAACAAGAATACCTGGATATGTATCACAAAGCTCATAGGTGCTGTTAATTTTGGATATTTTCCAACTCTCATTGGGCAAGCCCTGTACAAAAGCAAAGCACTTGTATGTTTTTCAGGTTAGATCTCTACATACCTGGATTTGGCATTGAAAACGTGGAAATGCTGCATACTTTTTTATTTAACGTGAGCCCATGTTTTTCATTTAAATAAGTCACTCGTTTTAGGTCTTCATATCGTACCATAAATCAAAAYACCAGAATAGATTTATACTAATTACCTTTAAAATTATTCTGCAAAATAACTATTTGAATAGGCCACATACTTAGGATAAGAAGTGATCACATGGTGAAATAACAACATTATTTTTGCAGACAGAAGACTATAGATTTACAATGACAAAACAAGTTTATTCTTCTGTTTAATGATGCTTACTCAAAAACAATTTCAACAAAATACCTATATTTTCAAAAACGGCACTTGGAAAAGGCAGATTTGAGAATGTATATTAAGACATATGCTCTAGCACTAGGTAACTGTCAGTTTTAGCAGAGCTTCTGAATGCGCAGCACTCTCAAAGACAGGCCACTTGTATTTCATTACCTAAACATGAATTTTGGCTAAGTTTCTACCTATAGCCAATACTGAGATTTTTGAGCTTTCTTTAAAATCGTTTTCTTGATTAAATGGCTTTGTATGGAAGGGACACCGGGAAAGAAAAATAATACACCAAGTCTAACTTACCTGCCTCTTATATTCAGCCATTGGATCATACACTTTCCAGCCATTAACAGCAAATTTCTCTTTATAGTTGAATGCAAAAAGTGGCTAAAAACAAGAATGTAGAGGCATAAACTATTTTTTAGTGGGTTGTAAGCAAGATGAGCTTCAACAGAGAATCATTTAAGATTTTCAATGAAGCATTTTAATAACTGTTTAACATTATACCTAAGCTCTCACTATCAAGGTTGGGCAACTCAGTGCTAGAACAGAAATAAGAACAACAGARTAACAGAACCAGTTCCTTACACAGACAAACATAACAAAAGAGCACTTTATAGTGACTAACTGTACCTACTTATTCTTTAGGCAGTGAACTTCAAGACTGAATTATCTACTGCAGAGTATAAGTCTGTCTTTATACGTTTTAAAACAGCAATATTAGGGGAATCTAAATCTCAAGGGTAATATACAAATTAGATAATTTTAGGGACAGCAGGATGCAGCATAATACAAAGATGATACAATGTCGGAGTAACCTGTCAGCTTCATAATGTATTTTATGAATCAACATTTTAATGTTTGTTACACAGTGTTTTTCTTTCTCTATCACTTTCCRAAAACATGAGAGCCTTACATCTTAAGACTTACCAGCCCATTAGAAACAGGAAAYGCACGTGTTACAAGGTTCTCAAAAATCTCCAATCTGTTCTGCTCTTCCTGTTTATAAGCAAGCCTCAAGTTTCTCATATCCTACGAAAAATAAGTCACATTATTTACCTACAATAATACAAAAAAAAAAAAAAAATGGCTGAAAAAAGCATATATACAACACTAATTAACTGATATCATCTAACCCACATCAGAATAGAGTTGTTTGTTTCAGATGACTAGGATTGTCACTAGAATTCCTACATACATAAAAATACCATTCTTACTTTGAATTCCTTCTTGTGACAAAAAGCAGAAGTGTTTAATACTGCATACTATCACAAGAGGAATTGAAATGAATTATCTAGATGAAGTAAGATTCAAAACAGGGCCCAGAGCAAACAGAAAACCAGCGTATATGCATTCAGCTCTCTAAAATAAACACGAAGGCAAAATAGTTGGAGCAAATGAAAATRAAATCAAAATTAATGGAGTTGTACCCTGTCCTCCATACCTTGCAAACTATTTCTATACCACATGAGTTGTCCCCGTGGCTCTGTACTCCAATTTTTTCGACTCTACTTATTACTCCAAGGGGGACATCAACAACAAAGGGTGGATCCTGAAATTTAAACATAAAATAAATTGATTTAGTTGCATTAGAAGCCCAGTGTACTATCATTTATGTCTGTTCCTCTTGTCTCATTTATAACTTCTGCTTAACAGACTTCTGTGGAACGTCATACTTCATTTATACCAAATTTGAGGCATTTCTAAAACCCACTTTAGCTAAATTTTTACCCAGAAGAAACACAAATACAGACAGTGAAGTCTTACCCTTTCAACACTTTTGATATACATTCTGAAGTCCGTCACTGTCAGTGTGCCACTGACTGCTCCCATAAATGGACAGATATACATAACATCTTTAGCTGGAAGACAGACCAAACAAAGCTTTGTTTTACTAATACAGATACTTGTTCAAAATCTATTCAAAATAACAAGAATTTCTGCAGGTCTGTGTTACCAAAGGACATTGATACTGGACTGTACACAAAAGGATATTCTTCAAGAACTGTTAGCATTGAAAAAGCTGAAAATAAAGAAGTTCCTCATCCCCATAGCTGCTTGGAAGTTCCCAAGCAGTTAGGACAGAGCTCAGAGGCAGCTCTTGTCCCTCCACTGGGGCAAAAGCAGCCTGCACTTCACCCAAGAGGTTGCTACTCAGTGATATGCCCATATGTTCAACTTCAATCTGACTGATAGAGCCACTATTCTTCTCTGCCAAACACTGTGCTGCTCATACACAGCTTGCCAACAYGGACCAAAGGGAAAAAGAGACATTAAGGACTGGATACCAAGTTTTAGATAGTTTCATCCTTTTTGCGGCCACAAGTTTGAAGTTTGAATCTGCGGAGAGCTGTGGATGAGCTCCCTCACAGAAATACAAACTRCATGATTAATTTATCTACGCGGAACAAACTAACCCATGAAAATAATTAATCTGGCTATATGGATCAAATCAATTGATTTACCTTTCAGGCTTACATTTGGATTAAAAGCCAAAGAAAAGAAATCCACATCAAACCCACTCATCCAAAATGGCTTTAAAAACTAAAGTGACAAAACTCAACAACAAATCATGTGCTATTATGAATAAAAATATCCTGATTACAAATAAATAAATTAGTGATTTAATAGCATTCAGTGTAGCACTCAATAGTATGCTTACCAATAACYTTGATTGATTCTCCAGGAAAAAGCGGAGCCTCTTCCATCTGTGCTAGTTTGTTTCCATCCCGCAGTGCCTGGCAGAAAGCCAAAACCAGGAGTAAATCTCACTTTTCATCTGCACTACATTGATGCATTTTGATGCAAAGTGCTTTTACTATGGGATTACTGGAACACAAGAGTTATCTTTTCCAAAGCACCATTCTACTATAAATAGTGCCATTTTAAAAAACAAAACTAAGCTTGATATTGTAAGTATTACACAGACATGCATATTAGTAACATATTAGTAACTAAGCATTTATGCAAGAAGTAGTTTCGCATGCTAGCTACATATAGAGCATACAAAAATAATGAGCAATAGTATCAGCTCAATTTTGGAATAGTGCGGTCTTYTGCTAAATGTAGGTTGTATTTGGGGTATTTTATCTACTCAGGAACATTTTAAAGCTTTTACTAACTTATTTTCTACTCARTGTTGAATATTTAACACTGAAATATTTTCATCTGAGAATCACATGGCGGAAGCCTTACTTACTTTTCGTTTCAACTTTTACTTTTGATTGCAAGATATTAGGACCATTCCACCATAAGCTACTTGAATCAATGCCCTACTGAGAATGCCACAGGTCTGGAAGAGGACCATAACAGGAATTTTGGATCCAAAAGGTCAGATTAAGAACAAGGTAATACAAAATATGGCAGAACAAATACAGATTTTAAAGTAAGGGCTAGTTTTCATTTAGTTTTCAGTTTTCATTTAGAAAAGTGGCCTCATTCCTGAACGATTACAAGCCTGATTGTTTGGATCCTTAGTTGCCAGCTACCATTTACAACACCAAGGACTCTGCAATAAAAGGGTTGTGGGACTTTTCAGGGACATGTGAGAAAGTGTCTTTCTCAGATCTATATGATGAGATGCTAAGGTTTCAATTTTTTACATCTTGAATTGAGAGTAGATATAACAGGCTATTTTACAATAAAATGTTCTTCCTTTGTTTTACAAACAAATCATTTGTAGAATTTTCCTTGCCTTAAAAAAAATCATCATTAAATAATTTCTAGACATATCTCTTTAGACATATCTAAATATAATTTCTAGACATATCTCAAAATTTATTTTGTTCAGTTTTATTATCTGGTAAATAAAATCATTTTATGTTTAGCACCAATTTAAAAATAAAAAATGATATATAGGCACTTAGTCAATACTTAGAGGAACAAATGTGTTCAGTCAGGTTGCAACTTAACTGCTGCATTACAATCTAGATTACATCACCTTACATAAAGACTCTACCCAGCCGATAACCAGTTAACATACCAAATGCCTCCCGTGGGTTCTCTTTAATGAGATATGTAAGACTTCTACGTGCTGTACAAATACTACTATCTAGTACCTTGCTACATAGTTAATGAATGAAAGATGAGTAAAACTTGCCACCTGATCAGCTTCTGCTTCAGAATGATAGCCATTGTGTCCATCCTGAATCTCCTGCATTGCATGAGGCAGCAGTAGGGAAGGAGAAAAGTAATGGGGAAAAACATGCAGACAACAGGTGAAAGGACAGAATCTCTCCTGTTCTGATTTTTAAAATCTTATTCCTTACAGAGACAGTATATACTTCAACTTCAGTTTAGTTACTGAACATTTTCTGCCTGTGCTACAAACTTCTTTCCACAGAAAAGACTGCAAGTTATGAGAACTATCCATTTTATATTACTTGGCAGAACATGAAATGGGAAATTTAGATCCCTCTTCACAAAGGAGCCACTGCTGGTTGGCACGTAGGAACATAAAAGTATGTACTGTCTTTTTCAGACAAGCAACCTTACAGGAAAGAAAATGAATTCAAAGTATGCCACATGCTTATAAATAGAAGAAATTGAGTACAGCTTGCAACGGTAGCATTAGGGGAAAATTCATGCAGTCTTTCAAGGACAAGGCCGTTCAATGTCAAATAGAGGCATTCAGACAATTTTAAAAACGCTATATTGAGTAAAATGTGTTTAAATYCAGTGTTTAGTTCAGTTTTATATTTTTACCAGTTTTTCCAGCAACTTCTGGGTTGCTACTGGAAACTTAGTCAACAACCTTAGAGAACCTAAAATAATTCTGACAGCAAAATATACAAATGATTCATATTTTTACATTAACTTATCAGAGAGTTGTATGATATTGGGGGAAAAAAAACTTGGAAAGAATTTCAGATAAAGGCCTCCTAACAATTAGGTCTTGATGGTATTCTGAAAAATAGTACCTGTTTAAAATTAGACTATTAAAAAATGTTTCTGGAATTAAAGAAAGGCAGATGTTGTGATCCCTGCAAGAAAAGTGAAAGAAGGACAAAAGAATACACCAAAAGATTTTGAATTAAATGAAGGAGAGAGAAGCACAACACATCATTCAGAAATAAGACATCATTGTAAAGAACCATGAAAAGCTGAAGGGAAACAATCAAGCTTTGTTCCTCAGTCCAAACCAATTATTTCAAGAGCTATCTATTAAAAAAAAATGTGCATTTGTATGGATGGACTGAACACATTTTCAAATATGTAAACAACTGATTAGAAAAAGACATCATTCAGATGTGATCTGTTAGTTTGGGAGTGAATAAGAGGTCTTTGTTTGAATAAAAGCATTAGAAACATTTCATGAACAATGTCAGAATACTATCCAGATCATTTCTCACTCCATAAACATTACTAAGTGAGAGGGACAAGAAAACAAGGCAGATGTTTTTCATATCTTCAATGAACAATGAGCACGGTCTAATCTCTAAAATGATCGTCTAAAAGATGTAGGGCATTGTACCGGTGTCTAACTTCAATCTTAACTTTCAACTCCGCTGCCCGACYGCAGCAATAATAGAGATGAAGCAGGAACTGGTATCTTACTTAAACTGGGTAGACCGAGACGTAGTGTTTTTMCTGCTAATATTCTTTAGTGCAGATAACACACTTAAGCTGCTAATACAGTGCTCTGTAGTCCAAAGCATGTAAGCTGCAGTTGTGAGCATCCATTTTGTCAAAATTAATGTAATAAAACTGAAGTTAGTACAACACGTTTAAAACGTAATTTAAATGTATTACTCTCTTACACATGGACTTTTACTGCTCATGAAAAACACTGCAATGTATATAAAGCATTTCTATGACGAAGAAGCTGCTGCACTGCATAGCAAAACGGTCCGACTGGTTCATAAAACCATTAAAGAAGTACAAAAGAAGGCTTGACACACCAAGCTTCCACACAGCACAGAAGACAAACAGGAGGAGGCCGTTTACTGTTAGCCAAAGGTAACCTTACCCGTAAATCAGGCCTCCTGTATACCTGTTAGTTAAAATACAAGATGTTATCCAACAAAACATATGGATTTGATTTGTTAAAGATATTATATCTTATTTCATCAGACTTTCAGAAGAGTTTACCTCCAGAGTATAAACTGAAAAAATAAAACAGGAGAAAGAAAACAAGAAAAAGCAATCACACCCATAGCAGCTCCCATKTGCAAATTGTTTTGATCTGAAAGCAATYTGGCCACTTCATTTTGGTAATGACACAAAGGTCAAGCTCATYGAAAAATCTATTCCCAATAATCCTTTTAACCAGCTACAACATGTTATTGTGAGAAGAGTGCAGTAATCCATCCGGGCAAAACACAGAAAGCCTGCAGTAACACCTATGAACTATAAGCGTGTATCTTTCAGATTAAAGTGCTAAAACAAGGATAGCTACAACTCCTCCCAGCTTTCTTTCTTAAGGTGTCTATGTTCTGCTACCATAAACTAAGCTATTTCCATTAAGATGAAGTCCTCATTCAAGAATTTTCCCCAGGCTGTCTGTCAGAAGATACACACATCAGAGGTCACAGTTAAACCATGTTACGGTAAGACTAGCAGGCAAGAGCTAGTTCTGTGTGTTCTTGAYTATTCCATTTGCAGCCTCTTTGCTCCCTTTTGAATTTTTTCTCCCTAGCTACATTCTGGTGAATTATATTTCTAGAACAAGTAACATAGAAGCCACTAAGAGATACAAGGCTCTATTTACTTGTTGTTCCAAACATAGTGATTTAAAGAAAAAAAAAAAAAAAAAAAAGAGGAGAAAAGGAGTTGCTGGTAAATCTGGCAGAAAACAACAAAACGGCCTGACCAATTGATGAAGCAAACAGAGCTTCTGAATCGATGTGAGATACTCTCTAAATGCAACAACTTGACAAAAGCAAAGGTAACCAAGACACAAAATATTGATCGAGAGTACAGCAAGATGGAAAGATGCCTCAAATTAAACTGTATAAACAGAAATTTTAGAATAACTTTATATGTATGAATTCTACAATAATAATGAAGTTAAGGACTTCCATGGTAAGAACATACATACATATTAAACAAGCAGCAGAAGAATTTTCAAGAAAATTAGTTTGAACCAGCAGTAATAATTACTTGAACTGCTGCTCAATGTCAACAACTTGATTACTAAAATTGTAAGCTGGATTTTGAAAACAAAAAATGTTGTAAGACACCACAGGAAATAAAAACTATAAGACAGACCTAAAAAACTACCAAAAAGTACAAGATAAAACCCCATACATTACATTACAGTGAGAAATCACGTATATTCTCACTGTGACATAAAGTCATACACAAATCAGTACCATTTCACATGATTTGCAGTATTTACTCAAAGAAAAAAATATAACTGCTAAATAATTAAAATCTTTGAAAGTCTAGTATCTACACAAGAAAGTTTATTCAGCAGCTTCCTAGAATTTTCTTAGTTTTAGTTGCTGCCTCAGAGTACAAATAAACCAAGTTCATTCCCCTTTTTCCTAAATATTAGGAATTGCTTTTCTTAAGACATGCAGCACTGAAGATATTTTCTGGAAATATGTAAACCCATCACGGCAGCAGTACTAAGCAACTGACAGTACTGCAAACTTCTGCACAAGTTAGGTGTAAAGGAAACCCTTTCTTAAAGCATAACGCATTACAAGACACTCGTCCTGAATGTAAATATTCTAAGATTAAAAAAATCCATGGTGTTGTACACAAACACAAAAGGTTAAATCACCAATGAGAGAAGCTAAATACAACTTATTCACAGAAAACTGGAACTCCAAAACRCTCAACCTTTTTATTTTATTTCTAATGAAGAGAGAATGAAACACAGTTTAGAAAATTTTAATTAGGCCCCGAAGACTTATTCCTTTTAAGTAACATCCAGGACGAGTTTGAAGTAGAAAATCTGATCATTTAGAAAAAGAAAAATGAATGGAAAAAAAAAAAAAAAGAAAGAAAGAAAAAAGCGCTCTCGACTCCAGAGAAATGCATTATAGCTCAAAAGATAAACTGAACACCAAGCTTATACTTAGAGTTTAGTAAAACAACGTCCTTGATCTACAGGGCAAAGACAACACAGGCAGTTGTAATGCAAGGTTCCTCACAATGTTTTACCAAAGACATTCGCCTTGACCCAAAGCATTTGCAATTCAGCTCCCATAGTATGGAAGAGCTACCCTTCTTTATGTGTGTAAGCTGCTGACTGTGCCAATACAGWGACAATCCCTGTGAGGTGAATTCTTAAACAGACTGAGATCAAATACATTTAGTAGATTCATATTCAGGCTTGAGCTGAATTTGACCTGCAATCACAGAAGCTAATGTATTGTATCTAGACAACATCCACACTTTTTGAACACAGCACGTTAGTTAAAATTATTAAACTAATTATTATCAGTTTAAAAGAAGAAAAAAGACACAACTTATATCTGCCTATTTTTCATGAAGATCATGAAACTGCATGTCAAATCTAGGAAGAAAAAGGATGGTACATTTTGTGGTCTACATAACAGTAGCTTGGGATTTTTTACCGAGTGAAACTTCTTTTCTGTTTATAAGATGAGGGAAGCTGACTATGCTGTACTCTTGGTAGTTTAGTAGGCTGTCTGGATATACAGAAAACAATAAAAGAGCCTGAAAGAGGAACACTAAAAAAACATAATAAATCCTATCAAACTCCACAATCATTATCTCAGTTGCAAAAATGTTGCTGGGAAGAAAAAGGTAACATTCAACGGTAGTGGCATTAATCTGTCTGTTTCTGGTGAAACCCTTTATATAAGAAAAAAAAAGGATGATACATATTCTTTACAGAGTAGCAAAGACAATCCTTTTTTTGTGAAACCTCAAAAGCTGAATTCTAGCATGTGTCATTCAGAATACAGACAACCTTTTCAAACTCCAATTAATCTATCTTACTGAAAACTTCTGTGCAATGATGAAAAGGAAAGACAACTCATTTTTGCTCTTTGAAACACTGACTTATAATTTTCTCTATTACATTCTATTCTGTAGAATTCAGTATCACTTTTCTAAGTATGTAGGAAAGCACAGAGCAGCGGTAAAATATCTTTATATATTGTGAAATGCTTCTACTTCTGGAACATTCAGGTATCGCTTAAGTACTTACTCTGAAAATCAAGGTAGGAAGGAATTTGATCTCTCACGCCTTTACCATAAATAAACCAATTTGCTCCCCACAGGTCACTTACCCTGTAGTCTCTGGACACTCCTTCTGATGGGACAGACCCTGAAATCTGACTAGAAATGGTTGCAGCTATCAGCTGTTTACACCATTCCACATGTGATCCRGTAGGGCTAGAAAAACAGAATATTTCAGATTATTTAGCAACAATTCATGATTTATATGGACAACAGTATGCAAGCTGAGCACAACTAGAGAACAAGACCATAAAAGTGATCACTAACATCATCAGCTTTTTGATTTTCAGAATACTGATGGGAAGAATGCAACTATTTTGCTGGTAAATTAGGAAAAAGAATTTAATTTTACTGGAACTTACAAAGACATAGCTCTGTCAATAAGCAAAAAATGTAGTTAGGGGCCCAGAAAATAATAAAAATATTATTTGGTGTAACCTGCTCAACTTTTTTTGATACTTTTTTTTTCTTTAAATCTATCTCCAGAATGAATTTGATTGTGAAATATTGCAAAAAAAAAATCTTAATTTTTTCCCACTGCTTTTAATAAGGAAAACTTCTTTAAAATTACTCTGTTAGTCTTTTGAAGCATTTTATATGAATAATGTTACACATGGGAAATATAYGCTTTCTAAAGAGTAGTTTCTATTTAGCCATATTTCCTTTTGGTACTTGTAAAATAGTTTCTGAATAATCTTAAAGAGAGTCCTTCCCAGCTGAATTACACAACACGGTGTGCTTACAAGAAGCCTAACAACAAGTCACTCGAATGGCAGAGCTGCAATTAATTAGAGAGGATACATTCTTGGGAGTATTTGGGATGCAAAGGTGAATASCTATAAAGCCGTGAACTCACACAATACGAAACAGGTATAACTGGGATGTTTGGAGGGTGTGATAAGGGCATTAGATGACAAATTGCTACTTAACTACAGGTCTGGTCTTACGTTAGCTCTGCTAGGACTGGCAGGTAGGAACTGATCACGCATGTAGCTAAAAGGACAACTCATACCTGAAACCAAAGAACTTTAGAATTCTACTGACCAAGTTTGTAGCAGTTTTTGCCCCACCTGTAACATTACATTCCCACTCGAACACAAGCCCCAAGTCTGCACTGATATGGAGTTCAGCCTTGCCTAGAGAAATCTTCATGTCTGTTTTGCAAGGGTGCCCAAGGTGGAAGCTTAGAGACCTTTTCTGGTTTAATYTGTTCCTCCTTCCCTCACGCCACTGACTTCCCATAGTCTCCACTTAGGGTTAGCCAAAGCACGTTTGCAGCTACGTATTTACCTCACAATTATCAGATGGATTTATTTCTACCATAGCTCGTCTTTGCTGGGAGTCACTGGACAAAGAGTTTATGTAACTAGGAAAACTGAGCTGAATGTTTAGTCGTGCGTGTGGTGGTAAGTGAACGCACAGCGCTGTGGAGGGAACGCACTTCCCTCCTCCCTTCCTCAGGTTGCTTCCTGCAGCCTGGGAAATGGGGAACACACGGGTTCCCCAGCATCTTTCCATACTATTTCATCCCAGGTCACAGGCATCAGCTTACCCTGGAACTGCCATAACAGCCAGCAACTCAATAATGGTATAAGAGACCATCTTAACTTCGCTAGGGTACAACAAGCGCATCAAGAGGAGAGAACAAGATGGTGAAAATTAAGAGGAAAGATRAGAAAGTACATTAGCAAGGAGCAAGAATGCAGAAAACTGCACTGCAATGAGAGATGGTGGTTGGTCCTCCAAGCGCTCCGGGGCAGTCGGCAGGGACATCGGCACCGAACTCCTGTTCCCRGCCACCCGGCCGGGCAGGGGTGACAGCCCCCAGGGGGTCTGTCCCATAGGGAGCTGCGGCTGCAGGGGGACACGCGCTTGGGCCCAACACAAGTACCTGTGGCATCGAGAGGCGCCTCAGCGGGCCGGGGAGGGCGGGTGACAACAGCCCCCGGCAGCGGCCTGGCACCGCCCGGCCACGGTGCGCTGAGCACCGAAAAAAGGCGAAAACAGCCCAACCCAACGCAACCCAGCAGCAAAAAAGCAGCCAGGCAGCCCCGCCCGCCAGCGCGGCAGGAAACTGGCGCGAACGCTCCGCTCGCGGAGGCGAAGCTGCCGCTTGCCTACGTGGTCCCTACGAGTAAATAAAAAAGCGGAGGCAAAAGCCCGGTAACCGCGCGRGCGGAGCGAGGCTCCCGGCGCGCCGCGGGGGGCCGGAGCCCTCTGCGGCCTCCGGCGGCTCCGTCCTGGCCGGGGAGGCCGCGGCCTCCCGCTCCCCGCGGGCCCCGCTCGCCGCCTCTCACCTGTCCAGCGCCTCGGTGCTGGCCTG